CCATAACCGCAAACAGCATAAACCAATAGAAGGAATCGAAATCCCACATATTATTACGGAAATCCTATATGAAGAGAAGAAAAAGAAAAGCATTTTCATCCTGAACATTTATAGCCCACCTCGACAAAGAAAGGCAACTTTCGACAAACTATTTGAAGATTCAGCAAAACTAGTGAAGCAGAACACGCTCATAGTGGTGGGGGACTTCAATGCAAAAGACCCAAGCTGGGGATACCTCATTCAGGATGCCAAGGGCAGAAACATAGCCCAGCAAATTGAAATTACAGGTATGACACTCCTGACGGATTTAGCAATGCCAACAAGACTAGGAAACAGTAACTCCGGAGACACGACACCGGATCTAACTATGTGCAAAAATTGTCAAGAGGTGGAATGGCACAACACTCTAGAAAATCTAGGCAGTGATCATTACATATTATGCACCACTATACACACAGATCAGATACGTAAAAAGATTGGCGTTGCCAAAATAACTAATTGGCATGCGTTCAGAAAATCACTGGAACAAAGGTTGACTGCCTCAGATATAACAAGCTTGAGTGATTGGTGTGACGAAATTAGGCGTCAAAAAGAAAGGTACAGTAAAGAAATTACGCGATCAAGCAATGCCCCTGAGGTTGACTCACACCTACTACATCTTTGGGAAGCAAGAAGAAGCCTTACGAAAAGATGGAAAAGACAGAAACGTAACCGTGAATTGAAAGAAAAAATCAAAGATATCACCCAGCGCGCAGAGGATTACGCCAATCAATTAGCTGCAACTATTTGGGCCAATTTCTGTGATTCACTCAACGGAACGCTGAGTACGGCCAAAACATGGAACATACTGAAAGCCATGATAGACCCCACGAAGACAAAAAAATGAAAACAGTAAAGCCGTTGAACGATTGCTGCACTTATACCCAGGTACAAAAGAGGACCTCATTCAAGCCATGCATAAAAAATGCTTTGGGGAAGACGGAGCGACGCCTTCATATCAAGGAAGGTATAAAGGATCACCGCAACCTGATTTAGACAAGCCTTTTACGGACGCTGAGATAAGAGCAGCCATATTTAGTAACAAGAAGAACACAGCCGCGGGTGCAGATAAAATCACCAATGGTATGATCAGGAACCTAAATGACCAAGCCATTGAAGCTCTCACTAAATACATAAACAAACATTGGCTGGCTGGAACTGTCCCATCAGAATGGAAACATGCGATTGTGGTCATGGTGCCTAAACCAGGAAAAAAACTTGCCATTGAGAACATGAGACCTATCTCACTCACGTCCTGCTTAGGAAAAATCTTTGAAAAACTGGTGAACACCAGGCTCCTCAACCATCTCGAGAAGAACAACCTCATGCCCGAAACTATGTTTGGCTTTCGCTCACACCTTTCTACGCAAGATGTTCTACTACATTTAAAAGAACAAGGATTAATGGACATCTCTAAGGTTGGGGAAAACGTTGTTATGGCAGTTGACATGAAGGGAGCCTTTGATAACATCAGTCACAAAGCAATACTAGGAGGTCTGGAGGAAGCTAACTGTGGAGAACGAATGTTCAACTACGTCAAAAGTTTTCTTAGTAACAGGACTGCAACAATCAAGCTGGGAGATTACGAATCCGACATCATTAAACCTCCAAACAAAGGAACACCCCAAGGAGCGGTCATTTCACCGACACTTTTCAAGTGTCGCCATGACAGGCCTTGCAGGAAAACTCAAAGATATTGCCGGTCTACAACATGCGATATATGCAGACGATATTACGGTATGGACAACCACAGGCAGCCTAGCGGAAAAAGAAGATAGGTTACAACAGGCAGCTAACACCATAGAAGAGTACGCAAGGATACGGGGTCTTCAGTGCTCAGCCGAAAAGTCAGAGCTCATTCACTTCAGGAAGAGAAAAACACGGAGGATCGACCCGAATCTAAAGTTGGAAGTCAAGCTCGACGGAAATGTCATTCCGGAGAAAGATACCGTACGCATACTAGGGATGTGGCTTCAAGCTAATCAGAGATGTCTGCACACACTAAATCAACTTTAAAACATCGGTACAGCAGATCTCGTGCATGATCTCGCGAATAACAAACAACCATAAAGGCATGAGAGAACAAGATACCCTAAAATTGGTCAAAAGCCTCGTCATCAGTTGCATTACATACTCGCTTCCATATCAAATTATGAACAGGGAAGACAAGGAAAAAGCAAACCAAATAATTAGAATGGCCTACAAGACAGCCCTGAGATTACCGCAGAATACTTCAAACGACAAGCTGCTGGCGCTTGGTCTTCATAACACAATTGAAGAATTATCCGAGGCCCAGTTACTAGCGCAAGAAAATCGCCTTCTCCAGACCCCAACGGGCAGAGCAGTCCTAACAAAACTAGGGCGCTATACTTTATTGCAAACACACCAAGAAACTAAAGAAGTACCAAGCGAATTCAGAAAATGGTACACCGTATTGCCAATACCAAGCAGCATGGATCCTACTCTGCATGCTGGAAGAAGAAAGGCAAGGGCTGACTACATAGACAAAAAGACAAGATTTTTGAACACGGCCAGATTCACTGACGCCGCGCCTTATCAGACCAATGCAAAGAGATATGTGTGTGTAGCCACCGACCATAGAAGGAAAATTACAGCCTGCGCTTCAATAGATCAGGCGTCGACAACACAAGCAGAAGAAGTTGCCATAGCACTCGCAATAATTTAAGAGGGATGGACGCGAAACGCTCCATTAACAATCATTTCAGATTCGCAAAAAGCTTGCAGAAACTATCTAAAGGGCAAAATTGGAGCACAAGCACTCCGTATATTGGTTGGGAAAGGATGGGACCCCACAGTGAAATACGTACAGGCTGTGACTTGGGCACCGGGGCACGAGGGTGTGACAGGGAACCTGCGCGCGGATAAGGCGGCTCGAGGCTTCACAAATCACCGAGCCACTTAAGCCAATGCAAGTGATGACCCTACACC